ATATGGCAGCATAGGTTTGACTAAAGCAAAGGTAAAACTGCCATTTGATTTAGACCTCAGTGTATAGGCAACCCCTGGCTGTCAAAGCAGCCACGGTCACGAAAACGCGTTCAATCTAGGCGTGAGCAGATGTTTGAGTTTTTCCAATTATTTGTTCTATTTGTTTATGTACTTTGTCATAGCGGGTTCTCAATTTTTCAGAAGTGTTTATTTGAGAAAATGCTGTTTAAGGTCTTAATATTTTTGCTCTCAGCTCAGTAAGTCTGCCATTTGATTCTTGTGGTGGGACTCCTCAGGCCAGCAGAGCTAGAGACAACCATTTCTTAGACCTTTGCTGCCCTAAAGGTAACTACCATCAAAGGCAGTAAATGCTGAGTGCTGACTGCGTGTTTAGGCCGCTGGGGCTGTGATAGAGGACATGGCTGGGGAAGAGGGCAGAGGGAACAGTTTCACTGGGAAGGTTAAAACAGTGACATTAGTGCATGTCCTTGTACTGACTCCTTCAAAAGGCCATGCTCAAGAAGTGTGCCTGGTCATCAGTGAGTGAAAATCTGAGTTTTAGAATCTTGAGTTGGAGGTATGAACTACCTAAATCCTAAAAGCTCAGATCCTAAAATACCATCCCATCTCAACCTCCTGTGTTTCTCTTTTCTGTTCCCTGTGAATCCACTTACCTCTACTCAATCCTGGATGTCTCCCTTCTCTGAAACTCCACATTCCCCAACAGTCGGCTCTGGAATCTTTTTTTCTTTTTTTTCTTTACACATTTCAACACTGAACAGCCTCATTTATTTTCATACTTTGTTTCTCACACACTTATGATTTCAGAATCTATACTTCTCCTGAGGGGTCAAAAAACACGCTCAAGGTTTCATGGCTAATGAGTAATGGGACCAGAGTATGAGCCCTTGGAGACCGTAGTAACCACACTTACCATGCCACCCCTCTAAGGGACAGTCTACCTTTTCCCTCTCGTCCCCACTCTTTCCCCGTTAACTCTTGCACATACTCCTGCCCCCACCTCCATGCTCATCAAAGACTTGTTCTCACTCAGTCTTCGTCTCTTCTTTTAAGTCCCCCCATCTTCAGCATTCATCATGGACAGCCTGCCCACACTCGATTTCTATAACCTCCTCGTCTTCATCTTCACTCTCCCAGGCACCCACATCCACAGCTCACTGTCCCTAGACTCGCTCTAGAATGTCTCTTTCAGAAATTGTGAGCTGCTGTTTTCTACCTCTGACCCACCACCCTCTTAGCTCCTGGGCTCTCACAGTCCCTACATCTACCGTCTGCACACATTCAGCCCTCCCTAGTCTTCACTTCCTTCCGTGTCTAGTCTCAAGCCCATTATCTTTCAATCACCCAGAACCTTTGACCTTATATCCTATCCATTTGGCAAACCTAACAGTGGATTCATGAAATTGTTTCTAAATGCTGAGTATTTTTAGAGAAAATTTGGATTAATATCACTACAAATTTTTGGTGTTCAACCACGGCAGCCCTCTGCACTGCCCAGCAATCCTGTCAGCGTTCTCTCCAACCCCACAGGAGAACTTTGTTAAACCTTTGCCAGCCTCAAGTGACTCCCCCACCCATTCTTGGTCTTATGTATACTTAAAAACACCACTACCACCCCCACAAACAGCTTTTGGGGCTTTCCACTTCATCTTAAGCCTACAAACTTGCCTTATACGCTCATCCTTGCCTCTTTTCCTCTTGTCTAAATCGAAGAGGTGTTTCTTCTCTGAGGTTAGTTTTTCCAGTGTCCGTTCTCTCCCACTGCCTCATGACCCTCACCCACTGAATTACCATTCTTTTTAGTTGTATTTTCAACTTCCCCTCTTACTGGATCTTTTCACTTGGCATATCACTGCATGTCTCTCCTACAATAAAATACCTCCTTCAACCTTATATCTTCCTCCAATTATCAGTTAGTCATTACCTTCTCAGACAATTTGTAGTCTATAATCCCTAGAGTTTTATATTCTTCTTTTTTTAGCCTACAGAAATCTGCCTTTTCTCATTACACCTCAAAAACAAACTTGTCTACTTTTATCAATGTCCTTGTAGGAAAACTCCCTGCAGTATTTTATAATGCTTACAATTTCCTCTTTGAAATTCTCTCCTCTTGTGCCCGTGAATGACTCGTTTTTCTCTAAGCTTTCTTTATCAGTTTATATCTTAGGCTGGATTCCCTCCGAGGCCAACAGAAAAGCATTGAATGCAAGCAGGTTATTTGGTAGGGGAGTAGGGAGTAAAACAGGGAAAGGAAGGCAATATAGGGTGTGCTAATGAGCAGGTTATGGATAACTGGGCAACGGGCTCAGTTCCATTAAGGAACCTCTGGGAGACTCTGGAATATATACCTGATGTTCCACCTGAGGAATAATGCCCTGGGATATTTAGCCACTATCTGGGAGGAAAAACTTCCTCTATCCTCTTAGGTTCGTTCAGTAACTAGGGGCCTGCAAATGTAATTTACAACACAGATTGAATGGAGAAAAAATGTACAAAGTTCATCATATGCAAATGGAAAATAAGTGACTCCCTAAACAGTTAAAGATGAGGGTTTATATACCTAACTTAATAGGGGAGAAGCAAGCAGGGAGAAAGGCTTATATGGGAAGAACAAATGGGTTTTTAGACGAAAACAAACAATAGATAAGTTTGTGATAATGTTTACGCAGGTGCCTCTATTTTGTTAATTTTTTTCTCCACCGTCACAAAACCCTCAGAGAGGTGACCTAAGGCAGCCTCACTCCCAGACGTTTCTGCTTTTAGTGAAATAAGAATCTCCAAGAAGACTTCTTCCTACATCTGTTCAATCTCAAATGTCTAGTTTAAAATAATCTTCATACTAACTCTGGGGGTCTAAGAGTTTCCTCATACCACCAATTCCCTACCATCACTGGTTGAGAACTCTTCCGGAGGTGTTGACTCCTTAGTAATCAGCATGCTTGTATCGTGGGCAAGCTTGCTCCTGTTGGGTGGAAAAAGACCTTGGCAGAGAGCCCAAGCAAATGCTGAGCGCCAAAGAGACACAGGCAAGGCTTTAAGAGCTGTGCCAGTTTCCTTCTAATTCCCACACCCCACCAGCTGAATGCTGTTATTCCCCAAGGTTCTATCCTCCCACCTTTGCTTTTATTATTGTGAGTAATCTTATCAACTCTCTTAGCTTTAATTACCTAATAATCTGATATCATCCAAATCTAAATTCCCTTTTCATCTTTAAGTTCTAGACCTGTCTATACAACACAACTGTCTACTGAGTATCCACTTTAAACTAGACACAATAAAAACTGAGATTATAGTCCCTCAAATCCTCTTCCCTTATTCCCTTGCCTGTCTTGCTTTTCTGGAAGTCCATTCTTTTAATTGCTGCCAATGATCATTCAGAAACACCTATGCTACAGTATGGCCAGGCACTGTTTTTGTTTGGGGATATAGCAAGGAACAAGACAAACTCGAGTCCTGCTTTCATGTGCTTGAATTTTACAAATATATGTAAAAAAACACAAGACAAATTATCAGTGATAAGTTCCATGCAGAGGCTGGTAAGCTACTTTGGTTTAGGAAGGGCTTTGCTGAGTAGAAGACATTTGAGCTGAGTTGAAGGATAAAGGAGACAACTAGATTGGGGGAAAGCACTCTAGGTGGAGGGATCATGTCACTCCCCAGCTGAAATACCTTCAGTGGCTTTCCAAAGTCTTCAGTATATTAAGTCCAAATTTCTTAGCATGGCAGAGAGGGTCTTCAGTATCTGGCCAGTTCTCTTCCAGTTCAACTCCTTTACATTACATGGCATTAACTCATTTAATCCTTACAACCACACTGTAGGATAGCAACGGGGGTGGTTGTTGAGTTCCTCGATTCTGTCTTACTCACCTTTGCACTCTGTCACTGCATTAGCAGTGGCTCACAAAGTGTTCATTAAATGAGCATGGTGGTGGGCGGGAAGGATAGGCACTTAGTAAATGTACAGGTCTAGACTGGTGCTGGCCAACAGAAACACAAAGCGAGCCATACAGGTAATTAAAAATTTTCTCATAGACATCAGAAAAGTAAAAGAAACATACGATTGCAATGACTTTTTATTTAAATGTTACCAACTTAACATGATTACTATAAAGTTACTAATGAGATACCTTACATTCTCTTCATTATAAATCTTCGACATCCAGTGTGTGTATTTCACACATCCCACCTCCGTTCGGAAGGGTCACGTTTCAGGTGCTCGGGGGCCACGCGCAGCTAGTACCCACCTACCTCTTCTGAGACCTTCCCCCACGCGGTCCCCGAGGCCCCCTTGTCGTGCTCTTCTACCGCATTGCCTATTTCATCTTTGCAGCCCTTACTGTGTGCCTCAGATTCTCTCATTTGCTTGCATGTCATCACCGCCCGGCTAAACAAGTCCCTCAAGGCAGGGAGTCGCCGGGAACGGCGCCTGGCACGGAGCAGGCGCTCAGCGAAATCTGCGCCCGCAGGACCCGCGGCCCCCGAAGACCGCGGCCCGCGCGCCCGCTTCCGCCGCCGCGGCCCCCAGCCCGCCCTTCCCCAGGCGCGGCCGGGGATCGCGGCTCGAACTCGCCGCCGGGCCTGGGAGGAGCCGGCCCGCCTCGGGTTTCCGCGCCGGTCTCACCCGGAGCCGCGCCGCGGCCACGGCGGAGCCCACGGCGGGCCCCTCCCTTGCCGGGGGGCTGTGCGCCAGCGGCGGCCGCTGTTCCTCCAGGACCTGCGCGGAGCCCTCGGAGGCCCGGCTCCGGGACGTGCTGCGGGAGGCGGCCCCGCGGCCGGGAGGGTGGCGGCCGTGTGCTCCGCGCGCCTCTGCGCCCGCCTCCAGCGCGGAGAGCGCCAGGCCTGCGACCAGCTGCACCTCTACCGCCGCCACACGCTGGGTCAGCGCCCGACCCGCTCCGAGAGGCCGGGGGGGGGGCGGGCGGGGGGGGAAGCCCGGGGGAGGTTCCCCTGCGCTCCCAGCTCCGGGGCGGAGGGAGGCGGAAGGCCATCTCGATTTGGATTCCTTAACCACCTCACTCCCAGAAGATGTCAGCCCGTCCCCGGGACCTCCGCCGCGCGGCCCGGCCAAGTCAGAGTTCATTGACGGAGACCAGGGGCCCTTTCTGCAGGGAGCGCTGCCCACTCGCCGCGAGCCTCGGCGTTTACACAGCCAGCCTGGGCGCTCTGACCTGGTCTGACTGCCCGGAAACACCGCAGGGTGTTGGGCGAGCGGCTTGGGGGGCCGCCTCCTGCAGTGTTGGTGGGTTTACTCAAGCTCCCGAATTGGGGTGGGGGGCACGCTTTTCCTTTTTATTTTATTATTGATTTGTTTGTTTGTCTGTTAGCTTTTCCTTTTTTTAACGTTGGTGTATTTGGAGGCGGGCAGCTGTGTGGGGTGGAGCAGGCCAGTGCAGTCACCTAGGAACCGCTGGGCATCCTCAGTCCAGCAGGCGACTGGGAGAGGGGGACTCTGGCTTTAAAGACATTCACTGAAAGTGAAAATGACCCTGGCAGGGGAGTTGCTTCAACCCGTCTTTTTTTATTACTTGCTTATTAGGTTGTAGTGTCTACGGGTTCATGGAAAATTGCTTAGCTCCTCCTTGTAGCTGAAAGCGGCCCTCTTTCCCTGGGTCTCTGGTCCAGGGCTCTGTGTTCTCCTAGGTCTCCTTGTACCCTTTCCCAGGATTCCACACACCTGTCAACATCCAAGTCCTGAAAAACTATGTAATTTAGGCCTCAATGAGGCCCAGCTTCAGATCCTGCTTTCACAGAATGACTCCTGCCTTTACCAGAGGTGAGTCCCGGAGAAGTCTTCCTCATACTGTCTGTGCGGTAAAAGAAGCCAAAGAAGCCACGGAAAATATCAGAAGTAGAGTTCAGAGTGAGGTGTACAGGTGAGGGTACAGGGCTAACCTTTCTGGAGTCTCTAATAGTACTGGGCTTGGATACATGGGGAGCTGGTGGACTTGTGTGGTATGGAAATAGCAGTAATGGCTCCTGTTTTTTGAGTGCTTACTGAATGCAAGCAATTCATATACCTTAGCTCATTAATAACCTGTCCCCATTTTACAGGTGAGGAAACTGAGGCTCGGACAGATTAAATAAGTTGCTCAAAGTCACATAGTAGATGGCAGATTAGGTCCATGAAGCTTGTGTTTTATGAATTGTCTGTATGCTTTTGCCTATTTTTCTATTGAAGCATTTGTTGTCTCCTGTTAGTTTAATATTTTTTTTGGTACAGATCCCTTTTTGGGTCACATTTGTTAAAAGTATTTTCCCCTATTTTTTGGCTTTAGATATTAGTTTTAATTGCTTTGAAACAATATGATCTAGTTCTAAATGCTCAAAAAGTACCCATTAGAACTGCTTTGATGTGATGATGGCATTAGCATATCTGTATCTGTGTAGCTATGCACAAAAATTTTTTAAAACAAAATAGTTGGAATCCCAAAAGAAAATATGACAGAGAACCCTATTAGAAGTGGAATTTTCTGATCTAGAAGGATAATTCCAGCATAGACACTCTTGAGCTGCCAGGAGAGGGCTGGGAAGAAGGAAGGTTGGGGACATAGAAGGTTTGTGACTGTGGTCCTGTTTTAACCCTAAGGTATTTCATAGCCTAAGGGAAGAAAGTCGCGAGGCTGGAGGGCAGACGCTGCCCTCTTGGCAGCAGAATCTGTACCCAGAAGCAGTTCAGAGTCGGCCTTAGGAGCCAAGAGGTTTGTTCTTGGCATCCATCTCCTTAATTTCTTCAAGCTTTGAAGCCAGGTTGGGTCGGTCATGGTAATGAGACAGAGACGTTCTGACCGTAGCCAAGCGGTAGCGGGAGCAGGTCACGGGTAGGAAGGGAGAGGGCGAAGCGGCTGCCGGGTGCAGTCCTTCCTCTCAGGGCGAGGGGCAGGGCAACTTCTACCGACCTTTTACTTCTCATGGTATTTTTTGACTTAAGGAAGTTTAACATTTTTGTGTTGTTAAACCTACTGAACACTTCTTTACGGCTTCTACCGCATATTCCAGCGTCATCTTGTCATATCACCCTACTTCAGTGTTCTGTGAGCAGACAGTAGCTTGGCTCCGCTTACAGCAGGAGCCCACCGCCGGTCCTATTAGTTTGGACTGGTGGTGTGTGTCACGGAGCGGCATGAAACATGGCCACTTGGATGGCAGGGACTGTGGATGAGCACAGTGGATGAGGCAGGAATGGTGCCTCCCACCTCTTGTTGGAAAAGGCCTGATGATCCCTTTTCACCATTCTCCTAAAGACACAGTTTACAGATACAGTACATGAGAAGAAAATAAGGGACAAACATTGTGATTTATAATAAGAAATACATATTTGGTTTTCATCCCCATTCCTGACACAGAACCTAAAACCTGTGGATAAGAGCTCTACAGGTTTCTTTTGTTATGTTCATGTAACTTTGGGAAAGCTCCTAGGTAACCTAAGGATGGGGACTGGTTGTCTGGAGAATCAGTCATGGGATTGGAGAGTTGGAACTTTCAGCCCCCGCTCCCCACCTCCTGGGAGGGGAGGGGTCGGTTAGCACTGGAGCTCAGTCACCAGCCAATGATTTGATCAGTTGTGCCTGGGTGATGAAGCCTCCATAAAAACCCAAAGGATGGGGGTCTGGGGAGCTTCTGGGTTGGTGAACATGTGGAGTGGCATGCCTAGAGAGGGCATGGAAGCTCTGCTCCTCTTCCCACATTCCTTGCCCTGTGATCCTCTTCCATCTAACTATTGCTGAGTTATATACTTTTCTAATAAACCGGTAATCTAATAAGTAAATCTTTCCCTGAGGTCTGTGAGCTGCTCTAGCAAATTAATCTAACCCAAGGAAGGACTCATGAGAACCTCTGATCTATAGCAGGTTAGCTAGAAACAGGTGACAGCATGATTTGGGTGGGATAGGCCTCTGACATGAGGGTAGTCTCGACGGACTGAGCCCTTCACCAGTGGGATCTGATGCCATCTTCAGGTAGACAGTGTCTGAACTGAGTTAAAGTTTGTGGGACACCTGGTCAGTGACTACTGAGAATTAGAGAATTGCTTGATGGTGTTGAAAGAAACACACTGGAAATATGTAATAGGTTATGCTGATACATTTGAAAACTTGAAATGGAAACATTTCTAGAAAAATATAACTCATTAAAATTGATTCAAGAAAAAAAAGAAAGCCAGAATAGCCTTTTCTTAAAAACAAACGTATTGAAATAAAAAATTTTAAACCCCACAAAACCAGGATATTAGTTAAAAGTCTTCTACAAGAAGAAAACCAGACTCATATAGTTTTATTGTTGAGCTCTATCAGATCTTTAAAGAATAAATTATTCTGATTTTTGGGCTAGGTCTAGGATATATATTTTTTTAATCTCCTGTATATTCTTGAACCAATATCACACTGTTAACTAGTTTATATTTTAATATATGATGGTGCAATTCTCTATGCACATTGCACTTCTTTTTCAAAATGTTTTTCTTTAATCAGTTCTCACTTGTTTACTCACTTTTCTCAGATAGGCTTTAGAATCATTTAAATTCTTAAAACTATTTTATAGGAAATTTTTGTGTGGGGGAGTAGGATTTTCACTAAAATTACAATTTCATTTTAGAAAATAGGCATCATAATTATAGGTAGGATGCTATTCTGTTTGAAACCAGGTCATTTATGTCCAGTAGAATTTCCCTCATTTTAGGGTTGACTGATTGCATTCTTGTAATATCATTTAACATGTTCCCTCTTCACCCTGGATTTAAAGTAAATTGAGAGTTAGATTTGAAGGTTTGATCAGATTTAGGTTTGATTTTGTAGCAAGGGTTTTTCGTATGTGGTGCATGTTAAGGTGGCTAACCTTTCCTAGGACTGCTGAATTTCCAGAGAAATCAGATTTTTATGCTAAAACCTGTTGTATCACCTCAGGAGGCACACAGTGTCTGGTCATCATTTTTATGTGTGAGGTTAAGGTTGGCAGTGTGATCCATCCTTGTTAAGTTCCCCATGGGGAGGGTTTTGGTTTGCCTGGTGCAGACCCAGTTTACATTAGTCATCTCAATGTAATTATTAATAGTGCTCCCTAAAAAATTCCCTTGTCTGGATGATAAACTATCTGTTCCTGCTACCTGCCTATGTTGGTTTCCCTGGAAGCAGAGCCTGCCATAGGGATTTAGGTGCATGTGATTTATTGAAGGAGGCCTCTTTGGGTGAAACTCTAAGGTAAAGAAGGAGGGAAGCAGGATACAGGGAAGAAAAAGGGAGAAGCAGGGTGAAGTCTGGCCTAGACTTGATTCATGGCTAGGCTCTGGAGTGAAAATTACACTGAAGAATTATTCTAGCCTTGAGACAAGGTACCTCCATAGCAGTCACTCATTGGCTACAGAAGAGGGCTGATTAACTGAGGGTCAAGGCCAGAGAGGGGCCACTGTGAGTAAGTAGCAGTGGGGTGGGGGTAGGGGATTAGATGGGTGAGAACACTATTACACTACTGTCCCATCTTTCACCAGAAATTGCCATTTACAGAAGCTGTCATTTATTGGCTTAAAAGAGATAGTGAAAATCAGTGTTTTATGTATTGTCTCATTTCTGTACCAGGTGTGTTTACAACAAAGGTGAAGCACTGTACAATTACTGCACCTCAGGGGCAAGTGCAACAAGTTTCACGTGTGCAAATCCTTTGTCAGGGAGAGTGCACACTTCAGAAATGCAAGCGTCCCATCAGCTCATTCATGCCACAGCCCTGAGCTGCTGCAGGTCCAAGGACTGACTATACCAAGAGCCATTGATTTTCAGATGATCTCTACCTGCAAGCACATAAAATGTTATATTAGCTTTAGTTGTACAACATGATTTGCTCTTTGTCAACATTGAAATGATCACCACAATAAGTCTAGTTAATAGCCATCACTGTACACAGTTACAAATTTTTTTTTCTTGGAATGAGAACTTTTAAGAAAGTTTTTTTTTTAATTTTTAAGAAATTTTAACCACACTGCAGAAACATTTGGAAAATAGAGAGTAGAAATGCAAATTACAATGACTCCCTTCACTCTAATCCACAATAATTGTTACCATTTAATTGCAGGGCCTTTCATCCTGTTACTACACAAATAACTAGCCCACTGGTGGTCCAAATATACATTAGTTTTGTATCTCAATTTTTTACTTTATTCAACCTTATAAATATCTTCCCATATTGCTGCCTACGTAGTCTGTTTTGTTTTGTTTTTTTAAAGATCTGCAAGGGTGGCTAGTGTTCCTTTAATTATAATGCATTCAAGTTACTTATTCTACTTGTAGTTGGAAAACAGTTTTGGTGGGTAGTGAGTTTAGGAGAACCATTGATAGGATAACCAAATCTCCAAAGTCAGAGTCTCTAAGCTATTAATAGGGAGTTTTCTTGGGTTGGGATGGTAGTGGCTGACTTCCTGGGTGAGTGGTTTGAAGGGAGGGAGGGCTCTGCATCTAGGAGTGTCAGAGGCTATCTAGGGAACCCTGAGTAGTAGCAGAGATCTACTCTGGACATTTTTTTCATCTGGTCTTGTTTCGTGGATCTCTCTCCTAATGATGAAATGGTGACTTTCTGCTTGCTCTGTGTGTAATTTGTTTTTCTTTTTTAATCCAGAAGACACAAATTCTCCAGGTCCAGAGTGTTGGGAGTTTTGTGTGAGATCTGATTAGTGGGGTTAATGCTCCCAACAGTAAATGAAATTTAGAGTGATAGAGGGGTGTCTTAGGAAAACTCCATCTCTTTTTACTTCTTTTTAGTTAATTCACCTTCTTCTGCTGATCATTCACAGGGCCTTGAGGAACAAGGAGTACAAGTATGTGGGGCTGTAGAAGCCAGCCCTCTTATTTCTGCTTCTGCTCAGTCAGCTAAGAAGCCATAGGTGGATAAACCTTAAAGGAAGTCTGTCAAGTAAAGAGCAGCGTGTCCAGTTGGAAGTTCTGAAAACAAAGCTGTTGCTTAGCTTTTATTTGTAACCATTTGTATGTCCGGAGAAAGGAAATCCCAGGGCAAAATACCTCTAAAAACTGAAATCAGTCAAAGGGAGAAATAAAATTTAAAATCCGTTTATTGCTCACAAACTGCAGGGTAATTACCCATTCATATGGAGAGGAACTTCTCTCCACCCCTGAGGAATGATGCAAATGCACTAAAGCATATTTCTCTCCACCTCTGAATGCCTACTGATATGCAGATGTACTAAAACCAGGTGAGATATTATGGAAATGTTATAATTTTACCCATACTGTTCATTTAGTCTTTATCACTAGTGGTCATAGTAATACCTGCCTGTCTTGCCAATGGGTTTCAGCCCTGGGCAGGTTCACTATGGATTCAGTGTGACCAAAGAAATGACAATAGAACGTTCTTGGGGTGAAAGGGTTATACCTAATTTGATTTCCATGGTGGCAGGTCAATCAGTAGAATCCCGTCCACTCAGAGCGAGTCAGCATGCAGCAAGCCAGTCTCTGCCTCTGGGCCTCTCGGCCCACACAGCCATCCTCTGGGCCTCTGTCCTTGGCGCTGCCACCACTCCAGCCTCTGCTCTGCTCTCCTGCAGCCTTGCTACCGTGTCACCCAGAGCACTGGGTAGGGCTCTTTATATAGAGTCAATAATGAGGCATTGCCCACACATGTGTAGTGAGCTGGCCAACCAGGGTCAGGTGAGAATCCTGGCCACAGGAACCTTCATTTTGTCCGCACTGCCTCACGGTTGTTGGGAAGATGTCAGACTGGAAGGATAAAATTGGGGCTGGGTGGTTGGGGATTCAGGTCAAGAGAAGGTAAATCCCGAGTATAGATGGGGTCCATCCAGGGCACAGCCTGACCATGGCAGCTCCCCCTGCAGCCTCTGAGAGCTTCCCCAGGCTCGCTAGAGCTTGAAAGGGGCAGGTTTCCGCTCACTTGCTTTGTGACCCAGCCCATATTTTTCTATACCCCCATGTACACAGCTTACACTCATGGTATTCATAGTTTGGACACTTTGTACTCTCTTTTTTTTAACATAATGTTCCCTAAGTTTCTTTTCCATGTTTGTTCACATTTATCATGCATCACTTTTATTCACACACTAATATATCATCATTTCTTAATGATTTCCCTTATTCTGGGATATTTCTATACATTTTGAATATAACTTCTTAACATCTGTAAATACTGAATTTTTAAAGTTATTTTTTTGCTTTGCTTGTAGGTGCTAAAGATACTGTCTTTTAATTTGTATGTCTTTAATGTATGCAAATGAATATTTTCTGTGTCTGCTTTCTGTACATCTTACTTTGTGCCTTTTGTACATGCCCTTTAATTACTAGGGCCCTCCTCCATGCTGATGTAGGGAGGACCTTTGATTAGGTTCCTTAATTTTCATAAAAGGATGTCAGCCAAACTGTGCTCATATGACATCCAATTCTTAGGGATCCATCCTCAGTCAGCACCCAGAGTATATAACTTGGGGTGCTCACCAGATTTCCTACCTTACTCTGTCTTATCTCCATCTCTCACTAAAGTTTTACCAAAGCCCAGTTGCTTTGGTTCAAAGGATGGGTAGTTCATTCATTCCTCAAAATTGTATCCATTCTTTCTGTGGATCAGGATGGACCATCAGAAACCTGCGTACCTTACCCTTTTCATGTGGACTCTCCTTTTCTTCCCTTCCCCTACCCCCACCCACCCAGCTGTCTGCATTCAGTTACATTTAGATGTTCATTCTTTGTTTGCAGGAAGGGGTTCCACAGAGAAGCAGTGTTATGAAATCCTTTTCTGTGTTTGCTGTTGTAATATCCCCAAATTTGGTATGTAAAATGTTTTTTTTTTTTAATTTAACTGCCCAGCAATAACATAACATTTGGAAATAGGGACAAGTAGGGTTTTCAAAAACTGAAATTTAATTTAGCAAAAAAAATCTTATCATGAAATGCTGTTGTTTCTATTGGGGGAGGTGTGCAAAATTGTCCTTTTAAAGTAAGAAATTGCTGTGTTTTCTTCTAGTGGACAGTGAGACTCATGCAACTTATGTGAATTTTTTGACTTTGGTGGTCAGTATTTATGAAAGCCCTTTATGTTTTGCATATCTTGTTTCTTTTCTCCTAGTTCTGATTTCTCCAGATGCTAGTTTCTAAAAAAAATACTTTTACATTTCATTGTTACTTACATTTTATCCTTTTAATATGTATGCTTTTGTTGTAAGCCATCTTAAGTCCTTAATGAAACAGTGTAGTATATAAATGTATTTCTTTTACTTTAAGAGACTTGATGGGCTTCTCCATTTATTGTGTTCTTTTTATATACCTTATATGTGAAGTTACTGACCCTCTGTAATCTTTGTTATGATATTTTATTCAATTCTTTAATATCCTATTTTAACTTTAGTTTTGTTGGTATTCATTTTATAAAAATATTTTATATAATCATACTTATCTCTGTACTTTTTGTCTGATGTTTCAGCTGTGAGTGAGTTATTGTGTTAGAGTTGGAGATGAATTTTCTTTGGTAATATGTTGGGGCTTTTGAGGTGAAGCTGTACATTTGTAGGCTCCACAGATTCAACATATCCAAAATTGAATGATTAACTTTCCTCCAGACTTATTCCCCCTTTTGTTTCTGTATTTTGGAGTGTCACTATCTAATAACTTATGCCAAAAACCTGCAAATTGTCCTGTACTTCTGGTTACCTGTATCAAATTGGTTACCTGGTGTTAGAGGTTTTCTTTCCCCTCTAAAACCTCTCAAATTGTTATCCTTCTCTGCCCCTTTCTGTTCATCCTTTACACACTGCCTTATTTCAAACCCTTAGCACCTCTTGCATTTATTCCCCAGATGCAGAACCTAGTGGTTTTCAAGGCATGAGGTGCTAGGGGCCCCTGCTCCTCTTCAATGATGGTAGCCTCATTTTAATATTTAATGTAATTAATAGGCTTTTGTGGATTTCATTGCTCTCCTTAGCACCCTTCTCTCCCCCTGCCTTCCAGCCTGCTGCCTGGGTGATCTTTTGAAATGAAATGCTAGCTTAATGGTATTGCTTTTTTCTGCCGTAACCTTCATTGGTCCCCATAATGCAGGGTAGGCATCATTAAGCTCAGATGCCTATGGGAACCAGAAAGGTGAGCTCAATGGATGAAGTGAGCTGATGTAAGAAAAATAGGGAAGAAGAGACAGTGCTGCAGCAAGCTGCCTCATCTAAAAGGGGCAACTGTCAGTTGTTTCCAATGGGAATGCAGGGCCTCGTTTGCCATATAGTCCAATTTGTCAAAAGAAGAGATCCAGATTTTCATGAAAAGTTTGGTTTTTAAACATTGGCTTTTTAATTGACTTTTTAAACATGCAGACCAATGCTGTATGTACTGACCTACTTGAAAGTTTTGGAATGTGCCATTTTACTTTGTGACTGTAAATGAAGCTCCCTTCAAGCGCTAAGCCTTCCCTCCTCCTGCCTCAAAACCTGGCAAAACTAGATTCTTTAAAATGCTAGTTTAACCTTTGCTGACCCTAGGAGATGCAGCCCTCTTAGTACTCTCAACGCTCCAGCAGGCAGCTCGCTACATTCCATTGCCATGCTTTCTGCCTTGATTGCCTAACTTTGAGCACCGATGTTATTTATTCTTCCTGATGATTCTAACACTTGGTAGCTGAGAAATACTCTTTGCCATCTAATGAATTAAACTCCGTATTTGAAGCCTTTGAGTCGGTACCATATTGTCTTCATTGTTTTTTTCTCTCCCCACATACGTATTTTTAATATTGAAAAAATCTTTTGTTCACTAAGAAATGTGTTATGTAAGGCAAACACATCTTTTTGGTGCTTCTGTTTGAATTGTCTAGGTCTAAAATTAACTCTGTAAGACTTATGCTCCTGTTCCTAATTCTTTCCATCAAGGAATTAAGTTTCTTCATTACTGATGTGTTTCTTGATTTATTTCATTATAATTTCTTTTTGTTTTTGTCTGGGTCTTAACTATCCCTCATTACATTAATGCTTTCTTGGCTAAATCTGTATTGCTACTCAGGATAGGAATCTCTATTTACCATTAGAATGCCATTAATTTTAAAATATTTCTCTTTGGTGAATTGTCTGTGTTCTAACAGTGTTGGATGGACTGGTTGTTTTTTCTTTAAAATCATAGCTGCAAAAATATTTGTCTTTTCCTATGTATTTCTGTTGTGTGTTAAAGAAAATTCTGATTAATAGATATTTTTTGATATATCTTCATTGAATATGAAATTTATTCTTGTTTTTTAATAAATGCTCTCTATTTAATAAGGGAAATAAGGTTGTTTATTAGAAACTTTTCATAGGAATTGGTGTTTTGATATTGTAATCATAATTTTTATCATTTAAATCACCTGATATGATTATATTGATGGTTTTACTATGTTAAAACAGTCTGAAATTCTGAGTAACTCTACTTGATATATTTTTTCAATGTATTTTCCCCCCTATTTGGTTACTTTTACTCTAAGTGTATACATCTATGCATTCATAAATAAAATTCATTTATGTTTTATGTATATATGCAGTAATTTCTTTTTCATTTTTATTTCTATATGCTTAGAGTATAAATTTTATTCTAAGTGCTGTTTTGAGTTTTTACAAATTGATTTGTAATATTATTTTTATTTACTTTTCCAGCTTTATTGAGATATAATTGACATACAACACTGTTTAAGTTTAAGGTATACAAGGTGATACATGTATGTATTGTGAAATGATTACTACAATAAGATAAGTAAATACATCACCTCAAATTCATTATTATTTTGAAAATAATGTATTACTGTATCCTTGAATTTCCTTCTCTATTACTATTTAGGAATATTTTTCCAAACGATTTTTTTTTTAATGTATTATCCTGGAAGTTTTTGAATAATGCAGGCATGTGTTAAGAAGAAAGTAATAGTCATTTGTAATACCACTATGTAGTGGTGTTCTAAGACCATTAGATATACAACCTCATTTAATTGTCAAAACAGAGTTCAGTTAGATCACTAACTCACCTTTGACAGAACATGGGGAAAAGACATACGCATGGGTAAGATGACATCAGGGATAATTTTAGTGAATTCTGAAAGGCCAGTGTGGGCTAGCATATCAATTTGTAATAGCGTATCAATGAGAAAGTATGTAAGAACATCCGAAATGTATAGACTGCAGGGATTGATAGGTAATCCCCTCAACTGACATACACTTTCAAGGATGAGATGATCTCCACATTATAGCAATGCTTATGAACATAGCAAATGATGAAAAGAACTTTTAATATCCAGTTGGACAAGGGGTCTGAAGCTGAGCTCTCATGCACTGCTGGAGGAAAGGTACAGTAGAAGACAAGTTGGCAATACTATGAAAGGTCTTAA